TTCTTTTTCCAATGTTTTGAGTAAAATATTGGTGGCGACTCCATGAACCTATTTTCAAAATCATTAATTAAGGATTAGTCTGGCGTCCGGACATTCCTTAATTAATGAGACTTTTAAAAGGATGTCTAAACCATAAGTCGTAAGATCAAAAATTTTCGGGTTGCGATAGTTCTTCATTTCTGTCAAACTTCCAAAGCTCATCTCTTCAATTTCTCTTCAAATTGCATCTCCATTCTCTGCATGGCCTCTTGACTGCAAGAGTCAACAGTTCTCCTCGATGATCATGCACCAAAGAAATCTCGGTAGCTCCAAGAACCACCAACACCACGCACACGGCCTGCATGCTCTGGCCTTCCTATGGCCATTGTGAGGATATCATCCCGACCATGGGAAACAAATGAACCCTGGGTGGTCTGCTCAACTAAAACCTACTGCAACATATTAACATAAGTATACCCTAAACTACACTTATGAATTAAATGAGTTGAAATGAAGAGTCTTAGTTTGTATATTTTTATTTACTATTTTATCAGCAATGACCCTTGCAGACTCAGAAGTCATTTGCCCATCTGATTTTGTTCGGGCTGTTATCCACATATCATGGTGGGGAGGTGACTCCACACGGTCAGCAGTCTCAACCCCTGCTACCTCTGCCCTAGCCTTCATCATTTTATTTTTTTAATTCATATTCCCCTCTTGACAATAGATGGGGTGCACCATTCTTGCTCTATCGTTCTTGGGCATCTATTCTTTTGGCTTGCAATATTACAAAAAAGAAAATGAGATTAATTAAAATAATGATTAAGTATTTGTGTCAATGTAAGAGTTAACCTGTCAAGAAGGGTCCAATCGAGTGGCACGAAATTGCATTCACTCCTCATTAGTGATCTGGTACTTTAGACAGGGAGTCTCATTTTGTCGCTCTCCAAATACATACTCCCGTGTCAAGAAAGTCTTGAAGTCTCTCCACCTGGTGGCAAGGGCAGATAACATCTTCCTCCTCATGACCTCAGTGTTGGGAATGTCAAAATTTTGCTATGAAAATAACAACAAATAATAAATAATGTATTTAAGTTATATAATATTGAAGGGATGTGAAAGTATATACCTGAATATCCTGCCACATGAGGTTCTTGTCAACCTCCTGAACGTCATCCCATGATGGAATGATAATAGAAACATGTCGTCGAGTTAGGACTCCCAAATAGCTCTTAAACTTGGCAGCATTTGGGCCTGACGCCTTGCCAGAACGAGGATCCACCTCAACTGGTGTCCTCTCCTTGGCAATGCGTCCAGCTGTCAACCCAAACAATCGGGTGATAGATCTACCTTCCCTCCTTCCACTGCCAGACCCCGAATCCTCCATAATCCTGAAAAAATTAAACGCTCATTATTAAAACAATGAATTAACTGAATAGACAAATAAAATAAAAAGGATAATAACAACATAGCAAAACAAGTAATAAAAAAACAAATAATACTCAATGCCTAAAAAGTCCTTCTTTAATGCATCTGGAACGGCCCGTTCCAGATCAACAATTAACAAATAAAAAATTTAACAAGAACGGCCCATTCTAGTTGCAGAACGGGCCGTTCCAAATGAACATCTAACAGAAAATTTAAAAAATAATTGCGTACAAGAAACTTACCTCAAAGGTTGAATGTGCAGCTCTTACAGACTCAGAGAAATGTCCAATGTGCAAGCAAAACGAACGAGAGAAAAAGAAAATGAGAGAATGAGAGAAGTTAGAAAGTTTTTGCAAACAAGATGCGCGCGGGAAGAAAGTGAAACGTTGGCATATAATAACTAATTTACATCGGACAGGGGGTTGTCCGACGTAAATTATACAATCTACGTCGGCTACACACACTGTCCGACGTAGATTGTATAATTTACGTAGGACCCCCATGTCCGACGTAAATTATTCACTCTTTATTTATGAAACTGCCACCACATTTTTTTAACGTCGTATTTACGTTTTTTCGACGTAAATTAGGTGACGTAGTAGCCCCTTTTTCCACTAGTGTATGATTTAATAACATGAAATAACCTTGGAAGTAATTTATAAGATGAATTACTATAAAAAAAATTATATTAAATGAGATATGTCTATTGTGAATGATCCTAAGAATACTTTTAGGAAATTCCTTTGGAATCCTTTTCTATTAGAGGGTACTGGTGCCCTTTCTCTTAATAGCTAATGATATCGTGACATGTGTACTAATTAACCACATCAGTTTTTTATTTGAATTTTTTACCCTTTTTTAAACTCGATGAATACGAATATGGGTAAGTTCTTAAAAAAAACCCACTCGAATTTCTCTTTTAGCAGCATCTTCATTGGCATGAACTTGCTTGTCTTGACACCAAGAGTTTCTGCCACCATTGTCACCCTCCCTCAACAACATGAGAGCATTGTGGAAAGGCTTATTTTGCAGCACACCTTGATGCTGCAGATGAGGTTGGTGAAGGAGAGGATGAAAGTCAATGAACAAGGCTCAATTTCGACGATGTCAATGATAAGATTTTGAGGCATGTGCACCAAGTCACTATAGTATACAGAAAGAGTATGAGTTGTAGAACCTTAGAGACTTGGAAGATATTTATAATTTTGGATATCCTAGTGAAAGCTTGAAATAAAAAGATTCAAAGATTTTATAAACATGATGTTGTTCAAATTTCAATAATGGAATTATAAAAGATTGTAAACAAAATAGTAGTAACATAGGAAGATGACAGTTTATAAAACTGTTGGGATTACACTTTACCAATCTCACCCTTATGTGATCCTAAAACATTTATATATGATTTCGATTATCCAATGTCATTGAATTCATTAAATTCATTCCAAATCAATTCCTTGTATTTAGAAATTTTAAAGAATCTAACTCAATAAATGAATCCTATATTTATCAAATTATAAACCTTGCATTAAGTTTAAGAACTTGTACAGCTAACAAATCTAAATCCATTCCTAATTTTTAGAGTAGTTAGGTGATTTGATTCAAAACCAGATTTAGAAAATGTTTTCCAACCAAAATCTAAATCAAAGATCAAAGATGAGTGATCAATTTACCTTATCAATAAGAACAAAATCCAAATCACTAATACTGAATAATAGATCATCATATATATGAATCAAAAGGAGTACATAAGAGTTTGATGATTTACATTTATTCCCAATATAAAAAAATCAATCACTCATGGTAGTGAGAACCAATCCATAATACATGGAGAAAGAGTACAAGAAGAAAAAAAGAAATCCTTAGAACCCTATTCCTAGCTAGTTCGTAGACTTTTTGTAGCTATGTTATTTTTGCCCTTCTTTGTTATGTCTCCCCCCTCTATTTTCTCCTTTTGGCTTTATATATGTGTAGCAAAATAAAACAGATTATGAAATAGAGAGATTAAATTGCTCACATCCCTTTTCAAATAATTGAGTGGATTGAAGAATTCTTTAAGGTGAACCAACTTTAAGGGCTGAGCCATTTTGAATCCACTAAATCCTTGGGATTCAGATTTTGCATCCTTCTCAAACCCAAACTGCTCAACCCTTTCCAAATGGCCGAGTAATTTTGGCTTTTCTCCAATTCTTACTCTTTGACCTTTACAAATAATTGAGCGGTTTTGAATATGTTTGGAGGCCTTTGATCTTCTTTGATACCTACAAGATATAAACCCAAAACTTTATAAATAAAACTTCATTAACTCTTTACAAAGTGTAATTTATACAACCTATTGATTCTTCCTAAATTTATAGGGGTTAAATGAAAAAGAAATATCTTAATTCAAGTTAGATAAGTGTTAAAATGATCCAACATTTTAGGTACAATAACACTTGTTAGTTGGCAATGTCGAGCGAATGTTGCAGCGGTGTTTCGCTCTTGTCATTGGTGACTTCCTTCCATGCGTCTCCAACGTGCTTGAGGAGCTGGCCGAGCGTCAACATCTTGTCGAAGACTGAATGGCTGATGAGGTCGTCTAGTTCCATTAGGTCCAAATACAGTGGCTACGTGGCATTATTGACCGGTTAAGCATTCTCCATCACAATGGTAGCAAAAAACTCTTGGTGTCGAGGAGAGCAACTTTGTGCAGACAAAGATGCTATTGAAAGAGGAATTTGGGTGGATTTTTTTTTAAGATCTTACTCGTATCCATATTCATCGGGTTTAAAACAAAACTGGTAAAAAATTCAAACGAAAGCTGATGTGATTACTTAGTACACATGTCGCAATATCATTGACTATCAAGACTAATACCCTGTAACAGAAAAAGGTTCTAAAGAAATTTCCACTTTTAATATCTTAATGATTTTGTAGAAAAAAAATACAAAGACAATACTTAAATAATTAAAGATATCATGGCCTTAAAAAACTTAGGGTCGACCCTATCCAATAAACATATAACTTATACAAATGTTAAGTCAGGTCAAACGACTCATTTTAACCACTCTGACATTCATCTACTCTTATATTGTAAATTAGAATACATATTCTAAAGTGTCTCCCACTCCTCACTTTCCCAAATAAACCTTCTCCATATATTATTATTTTTTTCTTTTCTCATTTGCATAGACATTTCACACAATAACTTTCTCAAATAAGCATTCTCCATAAACTTTCACATGCATAAGAACTTAAATAAGCATACTAGTCTCACAAGTAGCTTAGAAAATGTCTCGCAATCAACACTAAATTAATAGTCAATAAATGACATTAAACATTTAATTAATAAAGTGATAAAATATGTAAAATTTTTATAGTTAAATAATAAAATGTGTAATTTTAAAAGTTGAATGGTAAAATTTGAGAAATAAATGATAAAAAACACACTCAAGTCAAATTTTGAACAATTATAAAGATACTCACATTTTTATAATATTTTATTGTAAGCAACTCACTGAAACAATTTTTTGTTGTAAGCAACTGTATCTTATATAATATACTGTGCTTAAAATTACGTAACCTGTAATGCGACCCAAATCTTCTCCAATGAAAAAAAAATAAAATAAGTATCTCAAATTTAAGATACTCTAAAAAGGTACAAACCATCGTAATTCTCTTGCAAACAAGTTAACAAGGACTTTACTTACAACTGTACTACAAGCTGTGTCCTTGAGTTGAGTTTAAGGAGACAAAAACCGAACCGAAGTTAAAAATAACTGATGCCACAAGCCGAACAAAGCAGAAACCATACAATGCACAAGTCAAGAACAACGGAGAATGAAATAGCCGGCAAAATTACCAAACAATTAACACATAAGACGAACAAACAATGACTCATGACAACCTATGAAAAATGATCATATAAAACAAACAGCACAACAGTTACCACGTTAAAGATGCTTGACGAAGGTTTGAGTTTTCGAAAAATACAAGAAAGTATTGGCCAGCAGCACAAAGAGAATTCACCCTCTTATGTTACTATCTCAAGCAAAACTTTTCACTGAGAGACAAACTAGCACGCTCGCACACCGCTTTTGCTGAGAAAAGGAAGACATTTTCAAGGAATTTTATGGACCAGGTATGCTTCAACTGTTAAACAATCATTTTGTTCCTTGGAATTTCTTCTATTGATTTAGGCCTATATTATGATTGCACATAATGAAGGTTTCTATGGTCTTTGGCTTTTGATATGGTTCTTTTTTCTTTTTTCAGACATAGGCTTGAAAACCATTCTCTCCAAGCTTTATTCTTTTTAAAAAAAAGCAACATCTCCCCTAAGGAATAGAACATCATTTACTGCAAAAGCAATGGAAGCTCAATCACAGCACCAACTGAATGTGAATTTTCTTCCATATCCAACTCCTGGCCATATGATCCCCATGGTAGACACAGCAAGACTATTTGCCAAGCATGGTGTTAGTGTTACCATCATTACTACTCCTGCTAATGCTTTAACATTCCAAATGGCCATAGACAGTGACTTCAATTGTGGATACCACATCAGAACTCAAGTGGTTCCATTCCCTGCAGCACAACTTGGTCTCCCTGATGGGGTTGAAAACATCAAAGATAGCACTACCCCAGAAATTTTGGGTAAAATCAGTCATGGAATATCAATGCTCAAAGATCAAATTGAGCTTCTATTTCAAGACCTGCAACCAGATTGTATAGTGACTGATTTTTGTTATCCTTGGACAGTGGAGTCTGCTGCAAAACTAGGCATTCCAAGGATTTTCTTTTACAGCTCAAGCTACTTCTCTAACTGTGTTAGTAATTCTATCAGGAAGCATAGACCTCATGAAAGCTTATCCTTTGATACCCACAAGTTTACAGTTCCTGGTTTGCCTCAAAAAATAGAGATGATCCCTCCACAGGTAGCAGAATGGGAAAGGACTAGGAATGAAACCACAAGCTATTTTGATGCAATGTTTGAATCAGAGAGTAGAAGCTATGGGGCATTATATAATAGTTTTCATGAACTTGAAAGTGAGTATGAGCAACTTCATAAGAGTACATTGGGGATCAAATGTTGGACTATTGGACCAGTTTCAGCCTGGGTTAACAAGGATGGTGAAGAATAGGCCAATAGGGGACACAAGGAGGATCTTGCACAAGAGCCAGAATGGCTAAATTGGCTTAACTCAAAGCAAAATGAGTCTGTACTTTATGTAAGCTTTGGAAGCCTCACCAGGCTCCCTCATGCTCAACTTGTAGAAATTGCTCATGGGCTTGAAACTTCTGGTCATAGTTTCATCTGGGTTGTAAGAAAAAAGAATGGATATGAGAATGGACACAGTTTCCTTCAAGAGTTTGAGGAGAGGATGAAAGAAAGCAAGAAGGGTTACATCATATGGAACTGGGCACCACAGATTCTGATATTGGACCACCCTGCCATAGGAGGAATTATGACTCACTGTGGTTGGAATTCCATTCTTGAAAGTGTGAGTGCTGGATTGTCAATGATCACATGGCCTATGTTTGCTGAGCAATCCTACAATGAGAAGTTGGTAGTTGATGTGTTGAAGATTGGAGTCCCAGTGGGAGTGAAAGAAATGAAGTTTTGGATGAGCCTGGGTGATGAGGCAATGGTGAGAAGGGAAGAGATTGTGAAGGCTGTGGTGCTTTTGATGGGAAGTAGCCAAGAGAGCAAAGAAATGAGGAAGAGAGCAAGAAAACTTGGTGATGCTTCCAAGAAGACTGTAGAGGAGGGTGGAGCCTCTTACAACAACTTGATTCAGTTGATACAGGAGCTTAAGTCATTGAAGATATCTAAAGCACTTGGCAAAAGTAGAGTATGTAATTGAAATGGAGTATTAATGAGTGGCTCTAGAAGTGCAGCTGGTGATTTATGAAGCCTTTTGATTTTATAACATGATGAACAACTTTCATGTCATTTGCATATTTTGAAGATTTTGGCTAAGTAGGGAAAATGAAACAAAGACTTGCTTCTTGATTTCTTCGTCGATAAAATTTCCCTACCGAAAACGTTTACTGATATGCCAACTATTAGCATGCTGAGAAAGAGAATGGCTAACAACGCAATTTCTATCAAACTTTTCTTATTATTATTACGTTCCCTGCCATCAGCTAAAATCTATTGAAAATTGTAAACTGTATTTTGGTCTTACATCTTATTTAATCAGTATTTTTCTTAATTTTTTTTTCCGAACCATACTACTGTTGTCCTGTATGTAAGACTTTTTTTAAAAAAATTATATAAATACTAATATAAAATTAATTTTTTTTAAGGGACACAGCGATGACCTTATAATAGAGGGCCGAAAGGAAGTTTATGCTCGACTTATCCTAGAACGGGCCCCTAAAATAATCAGACCAGGGAGCTGAATTATTTTTCATTTCTGGTTTGCTTGCAGCCATTTCTTTGAAACTATAAGTTAATGTGAATTCAGATTTTGATGCTGGACTTTGTCAGATGATAAATCAGTTTCTTTTGTAGCAATATCAAATTTTCATGCCTTGTTTCTGCAGTGGTTCCTGCTGCTTTGGTAGAACAAGTATTCATAGAGCAAAATATATGACAAGTTCAAACCATCAATAAATCTACCTATTTTGTACCGTGCTTATGCAGTCTGATAATCATTGTAAAGTATATAGACCGTCAAAACATAGAAACAGACATTGACATACTTTTAGGTTCGACTCTTTCATCTTAAAGTATGCTTATCAAGTTTTGAACCTTGTTTTAACTATTCAAACCGTTTCTATCCCTACAAAAAACAGAAAGAGAAGACAAGAAGAAGAGACAATTCAAAGGGCGATGTAAAAAAAGTTAACAATAAATAAACTGATCTCACCAACCGTTTTAAGCAGAAGCCAATGAAAGAAACATGTCAAGAGTAACGGGGAGAACAATAACAGAACCGGCCAAATGATCAAACTAATAATCAACACAGAATGGTTCTAGTAGTCATATAAAAAAAAATATCACTTACCACTTGAAACATGCTTGTGGAAGATTGAAAGAGAGAGGCACAGGCTGAAAAGTGGGAGTAACTTTTTTTCTGATCTCAACTTGCCATGAAGACAGAATCTCAACTCAATATCATTTTTGTACCATATCTATCTCCAGGCCATCTGAATCCCATGATAGACACAGCAAGGCTATTTGCCAGGCATGGTGTTAGTGTTACCATTATCACTACTCCTGCTAATGCTTCCACATTCCAAAAAGCCATAGACACTGACATGAATTGTGGATACAACATCAGAACTCAACTGGTTCCGTTCCCCACAGCCCAACTTGGTCTCCCTGATGGGGCTGAAAATCTCAAAGATGGCACTTCCCCAGAAATGCTTGGTAAAATTAGTTATGGAATGTCGATGCTCAAAGATCCAATTGAGCTTCTGTTTCATGATCTGCAACCAGACTGTCTTGTCACTGATCTGCTTTATCCTTGGACAGTGGAGTCAGCTGCAAAACTAGGCATTCCAAGGCTTTACTATTTCAGCTCAAGCTACTTTGCAAGCTGTGCCAGACATTTTATCCACGAGCATAAGCCTCATGAGAGGTTAGTTTCTGATACTCAAAAGTTCTCAATCCCTGGCCTTCCACATGATATTGAGATGACCACCCTGCAGCTAGAACAATGGGTGAGGACTAAGGATGAAATCACAGATTTTATGAATGCAGCATATGAATCAGAGAGCAGAAGCTATGGATCACTGTACAACAGTTTTCATGAACTTGAACGTGATTATGAGCATCTTTATAAGAGCACAAAGGGGATCAAGTGTTGGAGTGTAGGACCAGCTTCATCCTGGGCTAACAAGAGTAATGAAGAAAAGGCCAATAGGGGACACAAGGAGGAGCTTGCACAAGAGCCACAGTGGCTAAACTGGCTTAACTCAAAGCAAAATGAGTCTGTACTTTATGTCAATTTTGGAAGCCTCACCAGGCTCTCTCATGCTCAGATTGTTGAAATTGCTCATGGGCTTGAAAATTCTGGTCATAGTTTCATCTGGGTTGTAAGAAAAAAGGATGAAAATGAGAATGGAGACAGATTCCTTCAAGAGTTTGAGCAAAGGATTAAAGAAAGCAACAAGGGTTGCATCATATGGAACTGGGCACCACAGTTGCAGATATTGGAGCACCCTGCCACAGGAGGCATTGTGACTCACTGTGGTTGGAACTCCATTCTTGAAAGTGTGTGTGCTGGATTGCCAATGGTCACATGGCCAATGTTTGCAGAGCAATTTTACAATGAGAAGCTGCTAGTTGATGTGTTGAAGATTGGAGTCTCAGTGGGAGCTAAGGAAAACAAGTTCTGGGCAAGTGAGGGTGTTGATGCAGTGGTGGGAAGGGAAAAGGTTTCAAAGGCTGTGGTAGAGTTGATGGGGAAAGAGGAGAGCAGTGAAATGAGGATGAGAGTAAGAAAACTAGGAGATGCTTCCAAGAAGAGTATAGATGAGGGTGGAACCTCTTACAACAACTTGATGCACTTGTTAGATGAGCTCAAATCTTTGAAGGCATCTAAAGCACTTGAGAAAACAAACTTGAAAATTTGAAATGGAGGACTCGTCTTGCTGAAGGTTTTGAATAAGATAATATAGCATCCAACATTTTCTTTTCTATTGAGTAATGATTAATAATGTACTACTGGCTTTGTCCACTCAATTAACAAACGCGATTAATTACATGTATAGATATCATTAGTTTTATCTTACAAGTAGTTAAGAATAGATAAATATATTTGCATACAATTATCGATAATGTGGTTAATATTAACTACTTTTGAAGTAAAGTTAATCATTCTTAGATATTTCAATAATCACATAACATAACTTTTTATGAATACACACGTAACTTCGTGGAAGAATACAAATTTTCATTAATTTTTAAAATCTTATTCACATTTAACCTTTTAGTAAATAGTAAGTGAAATGGAGATAACAATTTGCTGTCATTTTATGGTTAATGTGAAGAAATAAATAAATAGTAAGTTGCATGGTTGATTAAGTTAACCGAGAGAATGTACTAATTGTATTTTGGTTTCTGGCAAAACACAATTAGTACATTTTTCCAATGTGTGAAACCCTTCATTACAAAAAAGATAAAATAAAAACCGACGAATAAGAAACAAAATTCATTGGGAATTAGATTTGGTTTTTATTATATGGAATATATACCCATCAATATTCTTGGATCATACATTTTATTCCATTTCAAGTTTTTAGTTTCTAGTAACTAGTAAGTCAGTTGCATAGCATAGTTTTAAGTTTGAGACGGAGCAAGTAAATCATTGTTGCTCGCAGCAAGTTTTTTTTGAACATTTCATTATCATCTTAATAAGCACATTAGTTTTATCTTGCCCCAGCAATACATAAAACGTATTATTAAATTTTGTAATTTATTAATTATCACTATTCTTAACATTTTGTATTTTTTAATATAAATTATAGTGAATGTATTATGATAAAATTAATTAGTATTTCATGTATGAGTGTTCTTCTAAAATTCAAGTAAAATCTTGAAATTATAAACTAAATTATATTTAAGAGAAAATATTTATAATTATAAAAATATGCATCACTAATTCACCTAAAATGTTTAAAATATATGTTAAAAGAGAAAAGAAATTAAGAATATAAAACAGATATGAAACATCAATTTAGAATAATTAAAATTTAAAATTTATAAGAAAAGAAATTGAGAATGCACGAGTCATTCTTTAAGAAAAGTATGCAAAACCATTAACTAAGTTACTTTCAAAAGAATATAATTTTATTTAATTTAATATATAATAAAGGTAGGTTTGAGAATAAGTAATTGAAGAGGATAACTATCTGATATTCGGGAAGAAATACAAATTTTAATATAAAAGAGAAATTTAAAAATAAGTAACTTAAGAATATAAAACAAAAAGATGGAGACAAATCAGAGGGACATTAAAGAAAATGTTAAGGATGCATAAGCAAACAAAAGAAGCATCTCCAAACATGTCGATAATAACAGGAAAAACAAGAACCTGCTTAGTGATGAATTAATGACAATTTTTGAAATCGAGTCATCATATTTTGGTACACACCACATTATCCTCCACAGAAGAATTCTATTTGTGTCAAGCAAGATGTTATGAGTTACAAAGTTCACCTTTCAAGTATTTAATGTAATTATAAGAATAGAAATTATTGAAAGTCAACTCACCATATAAAAGGAAAGAAAATATCAGCATCAGCTTACAGAGGTTTGTAAACTTCAATTAAATTAAAAAAGGCATGTATTGCATAAAAATGTAAAAGTATAATAAATATTGTCTTTCTCAAAACCTACAACTGTTAACAAAACCACAAAAAATGTATAAAAAAGAATATCACTAACCACATGAAGCATGCCGTAGGAAGTAGGAAGATTAAAAGAGGTACAGGCTCTGATTGTGTTTGGAAAGATAAGTGTGAGCAATTTTTCTCATCTCAACTTGCCATGACGACAGAATCTCAGTCCCAACAACTGAATGTGATTTTTCTTCCATATCCGGCTCCTGGACATATGAACCCCATGGTAGACACAGCAAGACTATTTGCCAAGCATGGTGTTAGTGTTACCATTATCACTACTCCTGCTAATGCTTCAACATTCCAAAAGGCCATAGATAGTGATTTCAGCAGTGGATACTGCATCAGAACACATGTGATCCAATTCCCAACATCCCAAGTTGGTCTCCCTGACGGGGTTGAAAATGTCAAAGACATCACTTCAAGAGAAATGTTGGACAAAATCAGTGTTGGAATTTCCATGCTCCAAGATCAAATTGAGCTTCTGTTTCAAGAAATGCAACCGGATTGTCTTGTAACTGACATGCTTTATCCTTGGACAGTGGAGTCAGCAGCAAAACTAGTGTTGGGATACAAACAAGTCCCACATCGATAAAATATGACAAATAATAACAACTTATATAATATAAACATACTTCAATGATGGAGAGGCCTTTTGGGTGATGACCAAAAGCAAAACCGTGAGGGCTAAGGCCCAAAGCGGACAATATCTCATCATTGTGGAGTATGTTTGTGTAATAACCTTATAAAAATAACTCATAAAATATCCTCTCAGACAAATACCATAAAATAACCCCCATCAACTAGGCATTCCAAGGATTTACTTCTACAGCTCAAGCTACTTCACAAGATGTGCTAGCCATTTTATTCAGCAGCATAAGCCTCATGAAAGGTTGTTTTCTGATAACCAGAGGTTTTCAGTTCCTGGCCTTCCACATAACATCGAGATGACCACTCTGCAGCTGGAAGAATGGGTGAGAACTAAGAATGACTTCACAGATCATTTGAATGCAATATATGAATCAGAGAGCAGAAGCTTCGGAACATTGTACAACAGTTTTCATGAACTTGAAGGTGATTATGAGCAACTTTATGAGAGCACAAAGGGGGTCAAGTGTTGGAGTGTAGGACCAGTTTCAGCCTGTCTTAACAAGGGTGATGAAGAAAAGGCCAATAGGGGACACAGGGAGGAGCTTTTACAAGAGTCAGAATGGCTAAACTGGCTTAACTCTAAGCAAAATGAGTCTGTACTTTATATAAGTTTTGGAAGCCTAATTAGGCTCCCTCATTCTCAGCTTCTTGAAATCGCTCTTGGACTTCAAAATTCTGGTCATGTTTTCATTTGGGTTATTCGGAAAAGGAATCGGGATGGAGACAGTTCTCTGCAAGATTTTGAGCAAAAGATGAAAGAAAGCAAGAAGGGTTGTATCATATGGAACTGGGCGCCACAGTTGCTGATATTGGACCACCCTGCCATAGGAGGGATTGTGACTCACTGTGGTTGGAACTCCATTCTTGAAAGCCTGAGTGCCGGTTTACCAATGGTCACTTGGCCTGTGTTTGCAGACCAATTTTACAATGAGAAGTTGGTAGTTGATGTCTTGAAAATTGGAGTCCCAGTGGGATCAAAAGAGAACAAGTTTTGGATGAGTATTGGTGTGGATGCAGCTGTGAGAAGAGAAGACATTGCTAAGGCTGTGATTCTATTGATGGGAAGCAAAGAGAGCAGAGAAATGAGGAGGAGAGCAAGAAAACTTGGTGAAGCTTCCAAGAAGACTATAGAGGAGGGTGGATCCTCTTACAACAACTTGGTGCAGTTGTTAGATAAGCTGAAATCATTGAAGATGTCAAGAGCACTTAATAGAACAAATTAGATTAATGAAATGGAGGACTTATTTTGGTGCTTCAGGAGGTATTGTTGATGAATGTTACAAATAAGATTGAACAATATCCAAGTGTGTCTTTATTTTCCAGATAAATTTTAAATAAAGATAGCCAATTATTTGTGCATTGCTTTGATATAAGAATATGATAGATTTTACAAAGCCACTTGCATGGCATATTTTGGTGTTTGATGAATGGCATGAAGCATAAGCTAAATAAATTGCTGCTTTCTAGCACCAAGTTTATTTGGAAGAAAGTCAGTGGACTTCTCTAAACCTGTGTAAACATTCTGTTTTTCTTTTTTCAATAGTTGTGCGCTGAAAGCATAAAATTTGATGTAGCTTCTTAGCAAGTATAATGGCAAGAAAGATATACTGGTGTCAGAATAGAAATTCTGCACACTATGTAGCTGAAGTTGGCCAAAAGTTTTTAAGTACATATTAAGACAAACTCAATCAGCAAATTGAACCGCTTTTCAACAGAAGACAAGTACCAGGAGGATTATAGTGAGTATTCCCTTGTGTTCTAAATTACATAATCATCCAAATTTTCAGTTGTGAAAAAACAGATTAAAAGAACCAAAAAAAAAAAAAAAAACTTGCTATTGCAAAATACACGTGCATAAATTTTGAAAGAGTTCAATCTAGTCTCAATATATATGCATAAATATCAAAACTAATTGGATTTATTTTCTGCCTTTTATCTCACAGATCGGTCCAAGACAGTGAAGATAAAGAAAATAGTTGATTAATGCCCGAGAGTTGTGACATGAGATTTATTTTATTAGTGGATTCTCACCTCGAAATGGTTATCCTTCGAACCAATCTTGAGTTTATAATAAGAAAGAATCAGATGAAAGTTGTTATCCATGTAGAATTTGATCAAGTAATTCAATAAATCCTGCAAAAATAATGCGCGGAGCATTTGTTTAGCTTTTTGTTGTTACTTTCTTTTCTTACGGATTCATTTTATTGTAATTTATAATAAACAAGAAAAAGGTTAATTCTATAATCCAAGGGTAAAGAATCCTAAATAATCTTATGGATTGTGAACTGGTTTTAACATGTAGCCCGTGGCTATAAATAACAAACCATATTACAAGTTATTTTTCTTTCTTTTCATGGTTCAAGAGAGAGATTCAAAATTTGGTGAAAGAAAGAGGAAATTTTGAGTGAAGCGAAATAACAGCAATGAGACATACATGATTGATCACAGTACCAAGCACTTATTAGAAATCCATGGTGCAGTGGGATTAGAGGCAGAACCGTGTTGTTATTTTTTTGGTTATAAGAGCAGTTTTGAAATGTTGGGTGTTAGAGGAAAACAACGAATAAATTGAGGCCACAAAAGATGTATTTTTATTCTGATATGGAACGACATATTTATAAAACAAAAATAACTAATTATAGAGTTGTTAATAGATAGATAAACCACTAACACATCGTGCCAAAAAAAAAAATGCAACGGAAGCTGTCTTTTTCCTATTAGTAAACATGTTTTTTATTTTCCTAAAAAATAGCATAAAAATCTGATCTTCTGCAGTTAGGAAACAGCTTCCAACAGTCACGTCTTCAACACTCTTCCTTGACTTTGGAACTGCAAACTCCAAGCTTTTGTCATTCAAATTTGGCTTTTGGAAGTGCCTTGATTAGAATGTCAACACTTCGATTCTTTGTTTAGCAGTATAGTAACTTCACTTCTCCTTCACTCTTGACTTTTGTTAGAATAAAAACCTTTATCTTGAAATTCTTAGTTTTTTCATGAAACACCAGATCATTGGCAATTGAAATTGCAGCCTAGTTGTCCACAAAAATCTGTGTGCTTTCTTCTTGTTCAATATGCAAATCTGTCAATATTTTTCTGATCCAGAGAGCTTGATTCACTACAGCAATAGCAGCTACATACTCGCTCTGTAGTTGATTGAGCTATAACATCTTTCTTTTTAGAACACCAAGAAAAAACTCCAGAACCAAAAGCAAAACAGTAACCAGAGGTGCTTCCCATGTCATCAACACATCCTAACCAATTGTTGGGATTCATCCCAAGTCCCACATCGGTAAAATGAAGGAACATTGGCTAGTTTATAAGTGTCCACCATTCCACATAGTATGAGGCCTTTTGGGAAGGAGCCCAAAAACAAAACCGTGCGGGCTTGGGCCCAAAGCGGACAATATCATACTATGGTGGAGGAACGGGTGGACTAGCGGGCCCTACAAGTGGTATCAGAGCCAATGTCAAGTTTAAACTAGCTACACATATTAAGAAAAGTCATTTCCATTCCTATATTATCCCACATAATTCATTTATATATATATATGGACATGATTATATAATATTTTAAAATTGACAATCAAACATTACTTTAATCCAATGATTTTCTTTGACTCGAAATGAGCATCACAACCGTTGCACAAGTATTATTCCTACCTAATTCATATAATGTTTTTTTATTTTTTTTCTGTCAACCTCTTGATACTCCTCATCGTTCTTTTGAATCATCGTGTGAATCACTTCAAGCCATCAATGTAGTTGCATCACCAAACATTCTAAATCAAATTAATTATTTTGTAGGGGAATGATGGTTAATTGTTATAAAAAAATTTAATGTACAAGTGTCATACGTAATAATGTGGGATGATTTCTGTCAGTTTTTTTAATTTTATTTAACTCTTAAATTACATAATTATCAAATAAAATGTAGAGTAAATAGAATTTATAGAATATTCTAGTGAAGTATCCGTAGCAAACAGTACTCTATTTTGTATTGTATAACTTATCAGAGCAATGTTAGCAGTGGAACATTGCTTACACAATGATATGTTTGCTTGGTCCGTCAATGATACGTCTTTCGATAGCTAGCAATTATAATTACGATATTATATACTTTAATTTCATCACTAGATCTTAATAGTTTCATCAATAATATATTTTGTTTAGATGGAATATATATGGACGGGTAGAAGACCACGTGATGGAAAAGCTGAAAGTTTAATACTTCCTTGTGTTCTTAATTATTATCATAATTAAATTAGAAGATTGGCTTTATAATTTTATAAATAAAAAAAATGAGTAATTGATTATTTTGATCTTTTAATTTAGAAGATGTTGTTGTATTAAAGAATGTTTTGATACAAGTTTCCAAAAACTTTTAAAAGTTTTTTCATTAAAAAAAGTACGCTTTATTTTTAGTATATAAGTTCATAAACTCTTTTAAACTGTACATAAATAGATTCATAGTCTTTGAATATGAAAATATTAAATAAATTTTAAAAAATACAAATTAATAATTACATTGATTAAAAATAACAATCGCTAGTAAAAGAATTTTTTTTTAAAAAAGCATTGTTCCACTTCACTTAAGTTATTTTATATTATTACCCATTACATGTTTATAGCTTATATATCTCCATATATACATGAGTCAGGAGGGGTGTGTACACATAAATTTAAATAATTTTGAATGAATTATAAGTCAAAACAAGGTGGCGTGAGAAGTAACCCCAAGAGGAGAGATTGATTAAGAAAGGGATTGATTGATAATTGGTGGATGATATATAAAATAGAAGCCAAGAGGCACGGTGGTATTATAAAAATAGAAATGTACAACGTCATCAGACTCACCATCACCACAAAGATAATTTATTTTTATTCACAAATTATATATATATATATATATATATATATATGAAAGAATACCTATTTTTTATTGGATCAATCTTTATAAAATAAAGTAGTATTTTTAGTTATAAGAACAAATTTTTTTTTTCTATATATACAATCTACGCATTGATTGATAACTAATAATTAAAGATTAATTTATGTTGGTGTGGTGTAACTTTTGCTAATTAAATATTATTTTGTAGTTTAAATAATATTTTTAAATTTTATTTTATTTATATATATATTTTTTTTTTCTTTTAAAATATTCATTTTATACTTATTTTTTATATTTTAATTAATTTGGTCCTTTGAAAATAATAATAATTTTTTAAAAAAATTTGTGACATAGTTTTGAATTAATTTTCAATTGATTTATAACATGAAACTTGAAGCATTAAATTCAAATTATGAAATTCAATCTATGTTCGAATCCAAAAGACTACAAACATAATGAAAATTGTATGAAAAATATATCTTATAAACAACTAAAAATTATTATGAAATTATATATATTTTTAATATTTTTAATTTTTTTGAACTTATTTTTATGCAATTGTTACTATATTTGTAACATTTTCTTTATTTGAACTTAATAGTTTTTATATAAGTGAATCTAATAGATCAAGTTTCAAATCTTATATCAGTCAAAAAATAATCTGAAATCATGTCACAAAATAAAAAATTATTATTATTTAAAAAAGAATTAAATTGATCCAAATTTAAGAAATAATAAATCAAAATAAATATTTAAAAGATAAAGAATCAAAATAAATTTAATAAATAAAATAAAGGACAAAAACATAATTTAGTCAATTTTATATCAATATTAAATTTTTTAAAATTTAATTAATTAAGATGGACTACGAGTTTATGAATTTTTATTTAAAGTTAGAAAAAATCATTATAATATGATTTTATTTTTAATATTAAGGAGCGTCGAGACTTAAAAAAAATTACATTAGAATACTACGTGTCACAACAAGACCCATTTCATCTCTTATTAACAAAGTAAACAATCCGTAGGTGAATTATCTAATGTATGTTAGCCTATAATGAGTTAAAGAAATCATGCAGTCAACTATCATATTAATATCACTAAATAGAGGAGAAAAATTAACTTTCCATACCCTTCGGGATACTATGGTGGAGGAACGGGTGGACTAGCGGGCCCTACACCAATCACTATCAAAATATCCATGAAGCTTAAAATTATGAGAATTAGAGTACATCACACCATAGTCTGAAGTGCCTTTAGCTAACAACTCGTTGGCAGCTTAAAAATGTACTTCACTTGCACAATGCATGATCCTGGAAAGTTTACTTACAAAAA